TTATTAAACCATCATGGAAATGCATTGTTGTACCATTAAAGATCATCAAGAATTTCCATCATAGTATCATAGAAATCAAATCTTGGAACGATCGTGAACCACCATCATCCCAATGTTGGATCCCTGATTTTTTAAGGGCCAACATAAAAACTTGTTTTGATGGTATATTCCTGCTGAAACAACAAGAATTTTTATTAAACCATCATGAAAATGCATTGTTGTACCAGTAAAGATCATCAAGAATTTCCATCATAGTATCATAGAAATCAAATGTTGGGACGATCGTGAACCACCATCATCCTAATGTTGGATCCCTGATTTTTTAAGGACCAACATAAAAACTTGTTTTGATGGTATATTCCTGCTGAATAAACAAGAATTTTTATTAAACCATCATGAAAATGCATTGTTGTACCATTAAAGATCATCAAGAATTTTCATCATAGTATCATAGAAATCAAATCTTGGAACGATCGTGAACCACCATCATCCCAATGTTGGATCCCTGATTTTTTAAGGGCCAACATAAAAACTTGTTTTGATGGTATATTCCTGCTGAAACAACAAGAATTTTTATTAAACCATCATGAAAATGCAGTGTTGTACCATTAAAGATCATCAAGAATTTCCATCATAGTATCATAGAAATCAAATGTTGGAACGATCATGAGCCACCCTCATCCCAATGTTGGATCCCTGATTTTTTAAGGGCCAACATAAAAACTTGTTTTGATGGTATATTCCTGCTGAAACAACAAGAATTTTTATTAAACCATCATGGAAATGCATTGCTGTACCATTAAAGATCATCAGGAATTTCCATCATAGTATCATAGAAATCAAATGTTGAAACGATCATGAACAGCCATCTTCCCAGTTTGGAAATTTGGACTGATTTATGACGGTTCAACATGCATGGAAATTAAAAACTATTTTGAGAGTACTATTCCAGAGAACCCGCAAGAATTTACCATTTAACCATCATGGAAATGCATCATGGATTCTTGGTCCATGAGAAACAAACTTCTCTTAATGGTTAGCCGTCATAGTATTAAATTGGCGTCTTCCATCATGGAATGATGGAAGATGCTACCATATAATTTGCTGGTGTATCAATAAGTGTGAACGTATAACGGAAACAGTTGGATAATAGTGACCATCATGAATCGCACTGAAACCAACATAAATCATCAAAATGTTGTCTTGGACCATCAAGAATTTTGACGTAGGAAGACAAACAAAAAATGTAAATTTTAAAAAGGACAGAAGAGATAAAAACTTGAAAAATAGTAATCTGTCTGAGCTTAACTTCATTAATATGTTTCTCAAAATTTAGCCCTTAGAATAATTAATTATGTAATTTTATTTTATTTATGAAAAATGTAACAAAATTTTTAAGAGATGATAAATGTGACGACCAACAAAAATATTTTTACCTTTAAACTGATTTCGATGCAAAGCGCTTTTACCTTTAATTCAATAATTTACCATATTTCATGAAGCGTATGAGAGAGGAAGAATCAGATATATTATCCACTTCTATTTGTTTCTATATGTGGCTTTTTAATAGTTAATTTAATGATATTTATCTAAGGTATCAGTTCCTAAGGTATCCAGATATACACTACGCTACCATAATGAAAGAGACGACACTTTCAGTTTTTTGCATCTTTTTGATTTTCTCAACAATTACTAGTGTATTAGTTTGTAACTTTAAAGATGTTCCGTTCATGCGATTTTTCATACTTAACAATGAAGTTTGAAGCATTCAAATGTTTGAGGGACAGAGAATAAATTACGAAAGAAAACAATTATTTTTGAACACTCTATGTCAGAAAATCAAGGAATATGCTTGTAACTGGAATGGATTAGTTAGGCTGTTATTTTTAATAA